TTCTGTCTTTCTTCGCATTCAATGAATAATAAAGACAGAACGACACTTGTGTCGACTTGTGTCGCTTGCTGGAAAGCACGGATTATCTCGTGCGTCGCTCCACCTCCCGCTCATCGATCGATTTTCTTAAATGCCTTCCGAGTCCGGCCTACCGTCTCCTGCATCCTCATTCGCTCAAACGTGTAAATTAATTCCTCGATAACTATTGTTACTTTGTACCGCGGTACATGATATTTCTCCTTAGTTTAACCCAATCTACCACTATTTTCAAGTTGGCTACTTTTGCATCAGACACCCTGTATAAGGACCTCCGGCGGCGATAGAAAACAAGAAACGGAAGAATAACTCGCCCGCCGTTTCGCTTCCAAATAACCAAATAAAAGGTTATATGGAAGAGAAAAGGCAGGGGAGTTGTTCTTCCGCTTGTTTTCTATCGCCGCCGGCAGTGAATCACTGCCAGTGATTTCAGATTTGCGTTCTGCCACCTAGCCACCGCGGTAGTGGAGGATGGCGCGTGGTGGGGCGCCCGGCACGCACACAATCACGCGGTCGTGTAACGGACGGCGGGCTGGTCGGCGCGGCTCGGCGCGGTTCGGTCGGCTTCGGCGGTAGAAGAGGACAGACGTATATGTCTCTTTTTTTCTCCGCGCTATAATGGAATATAGCCAGCACACGTTACATGCGTTTCAGCTAACAATTTTCGATGTAACGGCTAGCGGCTTGGCTTGTCTGTACCATCTCGCGTCTGTTTTATGCATGAGACACTACCATGTCTTAATAAAATAATTAAAATGATAGAAAAAATAAAAAGAATGATAGGTGTCCACTCTTGGCCAACGTGTACGTCTTTTTGGAAAGAAATCGTCTGTTAATAATTTTAACGATTAAAATAATTTATTAAAAATATGATTTACGATAATTTTACTAATAGTACACATTTGTATTAAAAATCTATTAATTTGCATTAATTTTTAACGTTGAACAAGAATTGAAGGATTCTCTCCAGTAAAAAGTAAAAATGTATCAGGCGACAATGACTGAAGAGAAGAATAAGTCTATAATGTACACGTCAGTTTTTGTAAATAGAGTAAACGTACACATTGTTGCCCAACGAAACCCGCGAGAAGGTGATAGTCTGTTTCGTCGGGAGAAAATGTACATAATTGTTTTCTTTGATACAAAAGTAAAGACAATAATTATATACATTTTCAAAAATGAAATATGAATGACTGAATGGATTTAATGTAGAATAGAGATAGAACAGAGAGGATAAAATAGAAGATACGTAAAAAGAACGGATAAATAGGTAAAAGGATAGTTAAAAGGATTGTTAAAAGCGCTATATACTTTACTTAATATAACGGTATATACAGGGTGTGTCCTAGTACCCGTATCGCCCGTAAATGGCAGATAGACCGGGGCAAACTGAATAGAAAATTCCTATACCATTTTGCAAAATTCGCAATAGTTATCGAGAAATTAATTTTAATGTCTGAGCGAATGAGAGCGTAGAAGGCGGCAGGCCGGACTCGGCAGACAACGGTGGGGCATCATCTAATAGCGAGAGGTGGAGCGACGCGCCGAAAAAATGTCACGCAGCGAGCAGCGAGCTTTAGTATAGGTACACTCACCGCTCGCCCCACGCCGCGCGTCGTTCGATGTTTGAGGCTCGGCTCTCGCCCCTTGCCCCTCAGCCCTCGTCTTTTACATGTAGTCGAGCGTTATCATAAAGCAATATGCATATTACAGGTTGCTTAAAGCGTAATGGCTGGTGCATTTCCTCCATCTGAGAACAGTATTTTCCGGCATTAATGACTTTACTAGTACCGGGATTCTGTAACTTAGCTATCGATGTTTTTCGGTATCGAAATTAACTATAGCGACAGCAAAGACGTTAAAAGCACAGCTTTCATAGGTTGGTTAACGATACCGAAAACCATCGATAGCAAGTCACAGAATCGCCGTGCAGGTTTCAAGAACGAATAATTAATAATGCCAGCTCAATAGACGTGGAGTTATTACTGCTTCATGACAACGTTCGACCATATGTTTCAAGAACAACAGTTTAGAAATCTAGAAATTGTACGAGAGTTGCAGTATGAAACTCTTTTTATTTGCTCGTTTACTTAAGTTACTAATTATTTAA